AAAGTCTCTTCTTAGTAAAAACAAATTGTTTTTCTATTCATTTAAATTATACTATCTGTTGAAAGTATCTGTGGTGCTTTCTTTGGTCATGGTGCCAGAAATGCATTTGTTGTGACATTATACTTCCGTTATATATACAATGTAGTTAAACACTTACATTACCCTTTATGGTTGATAAACAGGAGTGTGCATCAGTATCCCCTTAGTAACTTTGCCAAAATAGATCCAACATTATCCTCACTTCCCCCAAAACCAAGATTTGGGTTTTGCAAGTCCAGTTTGGAGCTTCGTTGGGTGTGTTTTGATTTGAGTGCGCTTGTGCAGTTACCGATCTGTGCTCTTGGGTGGGAGAGGTTCCCTGCTAACTCTTTGAAGTATGGGAGTATCTCTGCTCCCCAAATAGTCACTTAAGATGCACGATTACATTGCAGCTTGGCACATTTAAGTTGTCAAAATGAATTATTTCACTCCATAAAAAAAAAGAATGAGAAGAAAGCAACATACATAATTAAAGAGTTGGCTATAGATTTTATAAGGAAAGATGGGAGAGGTAGATTAAGACTGAGCGGTTGGCAACTTCAAGAATAGCAAAGTTAGTATGAAAAAGGCTCATACTTATACTCTTTATAATAAAAGTCAAATTAGAGCCCTAAATTTTAATAAACATAGGTAATACAAATTGCTAGAGCACAATTATATTTCCTGTTTATCCTACTTTCCCATAAGGGCTTCTTACTACATATGAATTTTTATTTCAGTGAGGACAGTTCAGGACTTTCTACTAAAGACGCAGGGAGTCCTGCAGTGAGGCAGAAGTGATTGGTTTGTTAGAAAGAATTTTAGGTTAGAAATAAGAATCTCTTGATAGAAAAACTTGTTTGGCATTTAAAATAACCAGAGAAAGTTATAGAATTTCCTTCATTGCACAACCAAAAAATCGGAGTTAAAACAAACAGCCACCTATCTTGAAGAGTTCAGGCACCGAGCTTACTAGAAATGGCACACTGAATTCTTTCAGAGCTGTACAGGGACTCTGAAACTTCCCAGTTAGGGAGAGTCATTTGTTTTTCCTAATTTGTTGGTTGATATTTTTTAATATCTTTTAAGAAGGAGGTCAGGAGGTCATTTTCATTATCCCTCTGTTCACAGTTTACTGGTCAGTAACTGTTTGTTGGCAAATTGTCTCCATTTTTTACTTCAGCTCATTATGCTTTCATCTTGGATCACAACTTACACAAGAAGTATATATGTGAAAGAAGAAATGTATAAATGTACATGCAGTTTCTGTCACAGCTAAGAAAAATTGTGATGCTAATACTGGCTAAGCTTTGACCAAGCTTTCATACTGTGCTAACTGCTTTATCTGGCTTATAAATTAATGCTGTTCACAGTGCTGTGAATTATTGCTCTGTCCCCCCTTAGCAGAGGAGAGACTGAGGCTCAGAGAGCCTAGGAAATGTGTCCACAGTTGCGTAGGTACCAAAGGATGAGGGTGGGATTTGGTCTAGGTCAGTTTGACTCTAGAGTTAGGCACTGAATCATTCTGCTTTTGTTATTAGACTAATAATTCTCTCAAATTGACTTCTCTTTAAAAACATTTTATTTTTTGAATTCTAACATTGCTGTGAGTAGCAATAAATTATCATTTGACACTGGGTCTCAAACTTGGCTACACTTTGGAATCATCTGAAGTTTTTTTTAAAAAACAGTATTTGTGGCTGGGTTCTCAGAGTCCATGGTATGTGGAGTCTGGACACTAGAATTAGGAAACTGAGTTGGATGTCCCTTCTTTGTACCTTAGTCTTATATGGCAGTTTTCCAGACAAGTACATTCTTGGTCTGCTTCTTGTCTGCCTTATAGATTCTTAAGGCAAAGCCAGTATGGTTTTCCCCTAGCTCTGGCATTCAGCAGATGCTTAGTAAATGCTGGGATGCATGAATAGATTTCAGGTGCAATTAACAAAGACCCAAAGCTGAGTGGTTGGTGACCCTTATTTGTCTGAATAATGCTTATTCCAGGAAATGAGGGGTGTGTGTGCATGCATGCACATAGTTTGAGGAAAAAAAAATTAACTATTGAAGTAAGTTCAGAGGTGCCTGAAAAAAAATGATTTGGGGATGTTGGAATGATAGGAATAGATGGTAAGAGGAGGGTTCAGATATGGACAGGCACTAGGGAATTTACCATAGGTAAGCTTCAGATCCTTCAAGAGGTAACAAATCCTCTAGCTTCAGAAACTTCTGGACTTGGCTTCCAACAGGTTCCATTTTCCCTGGGGAACCAGCTACCCCTCCCCCAATATTGGTGTAGAAACTCATCTGAGCTTTTCATCTCTCCACCCCACTCATGTCATAATAAAGAGGCAGATTTTTTCGGATATATTTTCAGAGTAAGGATCAAGGAATTTTCAGAATTTGCTCTTTCCCAAATTGTTTTCTAATAAGAATTTGAATGAGAGACTGCTGTAGAGTAATGGAGTTCAGTTGGTTATGGCCAGAGTTCAGTTGGGAATGGTCTGTCAGTCAGCAACTGTGACTGTCAGATTCTTTCCTACAAAGGTCATGAGGAGGGGACTCAGCACCAAAGTCCTACTCAGGGATGGCTTAGGAGGCAAAAGGCCGATTTGGGAAATGCATAAGTTTCTCTAGATGAGCTAGGCTTGTATTCAGTTAGCCAGAGGTGTTTTGGACACTGCACTTACAAAGCCAGGCATCTTTTCATTGACTTTTGAAGGATTTTTTTCTTACAGACTTAACAATCAGTAACATTTTAATCATGACTAATCACAAGGTCCATACATCAAAATAACTACCATTTCTTTTAGCCTCGGATAAATTTAACTTTTGATTTAAAATATGCTAATGATCTTTACTTTCTCACTATTGTTAATTTTAAAACAAGTTTTTATTAGGAGAAATTGCTAATGTATGCATTTAACTTCATTAGTGGATAAGGTACATGTATAACTATGGTATATTGCTTTTCTGTAATTTAGAATTGAGGCATTTGTATGATTCCCAAAACCCCAAGAAATATTAGATGCTATTCTGTATCCTTCATTCTCCCACTTTTGTTGCATTCATGATCAAGTATTATTCGTACAAATAAAAATAAGCTTGCTATTTCATACTTTGATTTTGTTCTTTGTTGAATTCTCAGTAAAGACACTAATGATGGTCGATTTTTATCTATCTTTAATGCCTTTACATTAAAAGTCATCATGAATGTAACAAAAATGGGAGAATGAAGGATAGAGAATAGCATCTAATATTTCTTGGGGTTTTTGGAATCATACAAATGAAAGAGGAATCCTTATAGATAAATCACATAGAAAAGAATAAATAAATTGCTCCACATAATATTTATTTGGGTAACATCAGCAAATCAGTGAAACTGAGATTTCTGGAATGTGCTGGCCTTTGGAGCCAAGAGTATATTATGATTTAATGGTACCTCTCTGCTGCATTTGATGAGCTGTCCTAGAAAAACATTTTGAAGCAATAATACATCCATTTGGCTCCTAAGTAATGAGGGAGGCATTGCTCTTTGCATTAACTATTTATTCAGGAAGAGAAGTGACCAACTGCTAATAAGTTTTATCCAAAGAGGGTCATTTAAAACAGAAGAAAATGCAAAAGTGAGGCTCTCTTCGATTTCACATGCAATTAACAAAAACCCAGAGCTGAGTGGTTGATGCCCTTGTGCCATGTGACTTGGATGGCTGTATTTAAATGTGAGTGCCTGTCAGATCTAGTAAAAACTCTGTGGCTTATGGAAGCAGAGTGTAGCTTAAGCCAGTGACACAGGAGAAGACAGTGACTGGTGAGTGGCTAAGATTGGGCTGATCTCTGTATTGTTTGGAATTACAGGCTTGTTTTCTAAAATCAAGGATTTTAGAAATAAATGGTGATTTAGGTTCACTAGTGTCCTCCTTGTGGGAAGTATTCCTCTTTTTTTTTCTTTTCAGATAATTTTTTTATTACTTGTTGAGTCTGCTCTATAATACAGTATTGCATTTAGATTTAATACTTGATCAAAAGATTTACACGTGGAGAATTTCATATTTTCTATGCAAATAAATCTGTAATATATTATTCAGAAAGTTTCCAGTGTTTTGCTTATTCTGCAAGTACATAAATGGTCCCTTCTTTGCAATAAATGCTTAGGATTTAGTAGCTTTAAGATTGCAACCATAATATTGTATTCATGTGCAAATAGGGTTTTCCCCCCAATCATTTCAGAATCTTCCTTTGAAGCATTTTGATGATGTAACAGCTTGAAGTTTTCATTCTACTTCAATCAGGTTCTCAGCCAATTAATATTGCCTTTTATTTTTAGTGACATAAAAGATGATGAAAGTCACACTTATTTTTTTCCTTCAAGACAACTAACAGATTTTTATACCAATTCTTCCTTCCTGCTCTGATAATAAAGTAATACAGTGGATTTCTACACAATGGGCAGGAAAAATCCCCCATATAAATGATATCCAAACAGGCTGTAGAAATGATATATAAACTCTGTTAAATGTTAACAAAAATTTTTTGGATACCATAGTGAATCAATGATGAAATCATTTAATATTACATTTTTTTCAATTTAAAAATATTTTCCATATTGAAAACCATCTATCTATTAGTTCTAAACTTACTCTGAATTACTTTGGAGTATATTTAAAATCAGTTTTTAAGATATAGTCTGTGAAATAGGAAATAAGAATGCATTGTTTATTTCATAGCCTTTAGAAAAGTGCTAAAAAAGCCTGATAAGTACGTAAAAGCAGGATCAAAGACAAGAAAAGATTGCTGAGAATTGTCCTGTCCTGGGGCACATTGTGACATACACAGGGAACAAAACTTATCTGTGTACAGGGGTTTATTTTCTTTATCATAGAAATAAAGACTGAGTTTAGAAATGGAATTGCCTTTTAAGATTTCAGTTTTGCAATAATCCCTCTTGTTGACTATTATCAATCATTAGATTGAATTATCCCTTTCAGATAATTACTCCATTCAGAAGGCTAATGCTATGTGCCGAGAACAGAAAAGAGATGGAGGATTGGATCAGTTCACTGAAGTCTGTACAAACCAGAGAGTCTTATGAGGTAAAATAGCATATCCCTGATATTTTGTGTTCTTAGAGCATGGATGTTAACTAAAGAGCTAAAGCTATGCTGTGCAACTTGTTTAAGCCAGATTTTTTTTTTTAACTTAAAGCAATGTGCTTTAGTGTTAAAAGTGACAGATTTGAAATTTTGATCAGAACTATATAGTATGTACATTTCCAAGTAGTCCAGTGTCTGCAGTCTTGTTCTCTTATTTGGCAAATCTGTTCAAATGTCTCATTTCTAGGTGGCCCAGTTTAACGTGGAACATTTCTCAGGGATGCATAACTGGTACGCCTGCTCCCATGCCCGCCCCACCTTCTGTAACGTATGCAGAGAAAGTCTTTCTGGAGTTACCTCCCATGGCCTGTCCTGTGAAGGTACTGTAGCATTGAGCCCAGTCCTCTCCCAATTGTAAAGGTACAATAGACACACCACACTGGGAAAGCTGTAGCTGGGGAGATCTAAGCTGGAATACATTGTTTAAGGTTGATTGGAGTTTAATCTTGAGCGTTGTACACATAGTACTAATTTGGGAAATATTCTTGCTCTGGGAATGATAACATAAGATTGTCTGAAAGGAAACATAAATCAAAATATAGCATTTCTCTCTTAAGGATCTAGGAACTAGAATCTAAAAACATAGCTTTGTATAACATTCTAGTGTTCTTAATTCTGATTATGAAACACAAAACGTTTTATCAGGACAATATATATTCTTTGACAGAATTCCTGATTGTTAGTAGTATTGCTTTACTTGAAACTTTTTAAAAAATTTGTAGTAATAGGGATTGAACCCAGGGTTTCATGCATTGTTAAGCAAGTGCTGTACCATGAAACATTTTTAAAGTAATTTATTAGGAATTAATTTTTTATTAGTTAATTAATTTTTCAGTTAACTGATTGATCAATGTTTGCAGTGCTGGGGATTGAACCCAGGGCCACATACATTCTAGATAAGCATTCTACCTCTGAGTTACAGCCTCAGCCCTGATGTCAGCTTTTTTTTTTTTAATTTAATTGATTTTATTTTTTAAATACACGACAGTGGAATACATTATAATTCTTACTACACATATAAAGAACAATTTCTCATATCTTTGTATATAAAGTGTGTTCACGCCAATACATGTCTTTATACATGTAGTTTGTGTCATCTTTTTAAACTTCTTTAAAGTTTTCTAAAAATAAGGACTATTAGTGAGGTTCTCTTTTTGGTATTGTTGTTTGCAGAGCCAGGGGATTGAACCAGGGCTTCGCACATGCTAGGCAAGTGCAGTATGTGAAGTATTTTTTAATTTAAGTACAGGGATTATCAGAAACAAGTATTTTAATCATTACCAAGAGAGAACTGATAACATCTTTAGACTGATTTAATTTCATAATTCAGTGATGAGGTATGAAAAGTGTTATACTGCTTTTTGAAATATATCTAATGCCAATGCCAGTGTCTTTCTCTGATAAGACACTATTACAGATAATTTTGAATATAGTTAATTATGATTAAATAATAAAATAATGACAGAGCCACAGTTTTAATTGATGTTAAATTTATGACTAACAATAAGTAAATAAGATCAATAACTCTTGGGCTGGGTGGTGGATCTGCGGTAGAGTACTTGCCTAACACGTGCGAGGCCCTGGGTTTGATCCTCAGCCCCACATATAAAATAATTAAAATAAAGATATTGTGTCCAACTACAACTAAAATAAATAAATATTAAAAATATCAATAACTCTTGTTTCAGCCATTTACTACAATGCATAGCAATACACGCACAATGGTAAGGAATAGAGCTCAACCATTAAACCCCCTCCCATAGCCACCATTACAAACTGTTACCAGAAGTAGTTTAACACAATTAGATTGTTCTCATCTGTCAAATGGGGATAATCGTCATTTATACCTCAGCACTATGAAGATTAAATGAGGGAATGCATGCAAACTGCTTTTCTGATTAAATACATCATAGGAAATTGTCACTGTGCTCTATAAGGAATTGATCCAGTAAGTAGTTCCAGATTGGATCAGAGGCCTGACACATTCAAGTTCATGAAGGTGAAAATTTGGAGAAGCCATTAAACTTTATTCTTTAGATTTAATGAATTTCAGACAAAGATATAATTGGCTTTTCTGTCTTTACTAATACAGAAGGGTTTATGTGGGTCTGAATAACTCATACTAGGTCTGTAATATTATATGGTGCTGTTCTGAAGATCCTTTAACTGTTACCTGATGGTTTCTATTCCCAAAATGGCTTAAAAACGATAACCAGGTTTAAGATAACTCTGTGATAGCCCTCTGACTTGAAATTTATCTGCTAAGTATATTTGATTATTTAGTAATTGAGTCAATAAAGGAATGATTGAACATTTTTTCTAAGCATTTTAAAAGAAAATAAAAATTACTTCAGTTGGTGAGAATAAGAAACTTAAAAGTCTTTTTTTTTTTTTTTT